TTTTTTTTTTTTTTTTTTTTTTTTTTTTTTTTTTGAGTCCCTGCCATTTAGAAGAGGCAGATAATTTTTAAACCCCCAGATATCTGTCTAAACTTCTTCCTGGCAAGTAAAGTGAAATGGTAGTCTTGCAGAGATCCTTACATGCCCAATTATTTTGCCTGTCTGCTTATCAATACATCTTGATCTTGGATGCATACGCTCGTCCTTGAAGACTAGAACTAGACAAGGTTGCAGTTCTGGCGGTAGAATTTTACGAATATATCCAGAACGAGAATGAGTTCTACATTCATTTTACCCTTGACGGAAGATGGATTATTAGTTGTTTTATTTCCTAACGGCAATTTTCATGTTTGAACGATGGTTGCTTATTAAAAATCCCTATATTCTTTTTGAATGTATCGTCTTTTATATCCTGTTTTATGCAACAGTAGCCAGTGCAATGTTTCATTTGTCCGTTCATTGAATTTTGAATTTTTTGGACGAGATTCTTGTAAGATTTAGCTAAAGATGGAGTCAAGACAATTTATTAAATCCGTTCACCTCACATCGTTATTATTTGCTCCGATTCTTAATCGCTATGGGGATCATTTTGTAACATATCTCTTATAGTGTCTCTGCTAGAAAATTACCGTATTTGAATGGTTGTTTAGCATGAAAAACTTCTTTTTGTTTTTTCAAAAGTTTTACATCAACCAGTATAAAGAATACTGAAACCAAACAGAAAGCTTAATTCACTAATATCTGGAAAGGGCTTGGTTGAACAAGGGCTAATACTTTTCTGGAGAAAGCTGCTAAGAAAAAAAAAAAAAATTTTTTTTTACTGTTGGCCTGCCATAAAGAGTGAAATTTTACGTGGTTGACTGTAATTTTGCAGAAATTCTGTTGAGGATAAAAGATATTTTTCATCTTGAAGCAGTAAGGATAGTTCCTTGATGCTATTTTTTAACAAGCTGTTTGAAACGTGCGGTGAAAACGTGTTGGGCGAGTATTTCGTGAACGTGGTTTTGATTCTTCAGCAGGAACAAGCGACGATATTTTAGCTGTATAATTTGTTTTCGGAAAACCATTCATGGTTAGCTTATTTCGTCCTGTTTTTGAAGTTAGTCCAGTGAAAGTACACTAATGTTTTTTATACAGTGAAAGAAGATACAGGCAATACTTGCCAGCAATAACTCGCAAAAAAAGTTTTGAAGTTGTTTTTTTATTATTATTTTTAAGGGCTTTCGAACGTCCCGTATTTTACACCTGTTTATTTAGCCATAGGTTATAACTGCTTACCTAAAAAACAAATTAAAGAGCACATCGGAGTTTACTTGTTGATAAAGTAACGAAAAGCGTTTGAATTCAAGCAGAAAGTGCACTTTTTAATGTTAAATTTCATCATGCGACATAAGTTGTTCAATAAAAAAACGAAAATGTTTCACAATAATATGGTGACATTCATGGCAGACCATTGGCCAAATTTAGTTGGCCTCTGAGGAGCTGCTGCGTTCATCGGTGTCAAAAGCGTGGAGCAAGCTTCGCCTAATTATGGAAAAGATTAAATGATTTTTTTTTCTTATCCCTTGTAGGGTAACTGAGTTCTTTGCATCGCTTTTGCATTTTGAAATCTATAATAAAGTACACCAGTTGAGTTTTAGACTGCAAGAGATAAGATTTGAGCGAGATATGTATATAGATCGTGCTGCGAGCTCCCTGCTTGTGTCGCATGATACTGAAAGAAATTAACTGTTTGCAAACGGTAACGTTAGGCACTATCTTTATACCTGTAGCTCTAAGTACGACACCATTAAGGCTTAGAAAATGGGTATCCTCTTGCTAAGCCAGTTACTTCAGTAAAGAAGCACCCTTTCTTTCAAAATAACTAATATTCGGAGGCCGAGTGACTTCATACTGTCAAATAAGTCTTTTTATGATGGCTTTTAGTAGTCTAAGTCAAGCTCAAAAAATCTTATAGAGTTTATCTACAGCATTCAAGACGCATCAAGCTGAGTTCCAACTCATCTGTGAAGTTACCTTTGCCCGCTGCATTTCGGTTCAGTCCAGTTGCTCTTTCTCCACCTTAGGCGTTTCAGCAAATTCTTCCTTGAAACTGTGTGCCGTGCGTGGTTTTTTTTATGCAGACGAAACACGGCTAGAGACATTACCGTTTCTGAAACCTAAAGCATCTTACGATGTATGCCTGTTCTCTCGGACCTCTGTACAGTAGACTTTCCACGATCTATTTCGGACAGCTGGCGCATGATTCTGTGTTCTCCCGCTGTAGGGTTGCGTTTAGAATTTTTTCGTGTCAAACTTTTTTCAGATTTGGAATATATCAGACCGATAGAGACAGCATGCGTAGAAATTTTCATAAAATCCGTAATTTTTTTTATCTCATAGCCAAATTTTTGTAAATTTTTCATTTGCATTCTGAGGCCAGCTATTGTGTGTTTGCAGCTTAATACATATAAAAAAATATAAAAAGCAGTAGAAGTGGGCAAAGAAACAGCATATTCTCATGTATTAAGATTATTTTCCACGTCTCCACTCGGTGCTGAATCTTTTAAAAGTCACTGAGAAGCACTTTGCAACTTAGCCATAGCATATGTAAAGACTTTCCTTTTTTCTTGCTTACATCCGAAACACAAAAAATACCTTTTGAAAAGCAGCGACATTCAGCACAGTGAACTACTCGGCCGGGAAGTTATTTTAATTTGAATGGTAACTCTTTTAGAAAACTTTGTCTTTATCGCTGCCCCTGCAGATATACGACTACACATTCAGATAATTCGTAAATGTTGTTATCAGTCAATTACTTCTGTATATACGTATTCGTTTGCCTCTCAACATCCTTGTTATGTTAATTAATTTAATGAAATAATACCGGCCGGACTCAGGAACTGAGGTGCGATTTTTAATTCAATTAATCGAAGAAATTAGATTCCAATTATTAGAATATAGGGACTGCTAGTGAAAATGTGGTTTTATTTTATGTTCATTCTTCTAGTTTTTTTTCGAAGCAAACTTATTGAGCAGCTTTTCAGGTATTTCGGAGAGTATAAATGTTACAATTCGAAGTTTTTCAAATATTCTCTGAACGGCAGAGGATTTTTGATTGGCTATTAGCTCTTATGCGTCGCTTAACTTTAGCTTTACGGCTGAATGGAGCGCCTACCGACAAAAACAATGAATTCTGAATAGTAGTTGTAAGCAATTTCACATTCCACAACGCAGTTCTTCAAGGGATCTTCGAGCTGCTCATTACTACAATTGTCACCTTCACAGGTATTTTAATATTGGGATATTCCGCCCAATCTAGAGGATTTTAAGCTTGGATGTGACTTGTAAGGGATAAGCGAGATTCATCGTGGGAACAAGAAGGAAGCGAGATAAACATAGCATATTTTATAATTTTTTGTGAAGAAATTCATAACCTTTTCTTATGTCAGAAGTGAAGCAAAAACGGCAGTTATTTTTCGACAAATTTGAGTCGGTAGTATAAAGTAGTTTTTGTTAATAATAGGTAAATTTCTGACTTGGCGTTATTATCAACTTTCTGCTGCTTCTTAGTTGTTTATTATAACTTTTTGATATACACAATTGAACCGATACTTAAATAATTTTTAGCACACATTTGTTATTTCTTATACAGTAAAAAACCCTTTACAGTACTTGCAGTTTATATCTTGCTGATTGCTAGACATTTTTTCGGTATTGAAAGCAGAAATTGACAAGTTTTTTCAATGAAATGCGTAAGAATACGCTGTACTAGATGAAAATCATTGGTGTTAAGGGATTTAGTAGACTTTACTTTAATTTTACTTTAACTTCATGTGTGTTTATGGCTTTTTTCTGCACTAAACTTCAAGACTACGGCTTTTGACAAGGTCTTTTCAAATTATTTTTTTTAAAACTGCCACTATGAACTCTAGTCTGGTTTTTATTAGCCCTCTAGACTTCAGTTACCTAGAAAGCTTATCGAACCTATTGTTTGCTTGTCAGAACGATTATATTTAATTTATAAGTTGTTACTTTTTAGAATTATGCTTAATGGCTTACTTTTTTTGGAAAACGTGTTCCACAATTTCTCGGAAATGATTTAAACGGCAGAGAGATGGGTTGTCTCAGACCTCTTAAATACTTCTTGCTTTTTTCACTGGGGTACACGGAAGAAGAAAACGGTTTTTTAGTGACCGTAGAGAAGGGAAGAGGTGGGAGAAGATCCTTCGATTACAGAGCAAAAGTTTTTTTTATTGATAGTTAAAAAAAAGTAAATTTTTCAAATCAAATCTTGTCAGAATTTTCCAGGAGCGAGGCTAGGTGAGTGGTAGAAATGAATCCGTGATACTGAACTCTTGTTTGAAAACAGCTTTGTGCTAAATTTTATGCTTTTTGAGTTTTGACTTATTCTGTTACTTATTGCAACAAAGCTAACGCAGCTTTCTGTCGGCGTCACATTTTTGGCTTTAACGACTCTGTTTATAATGCCTGCTTCAGACGATGGTTTAAGACAAAGTGTTTGATATTAGTCGTGCAACTAGTAGCTCTCTGACATTAGAATGACGCTGCATTTCCAAAATTTTGGATACTTCTGAGAAAAACTGGTGGTTCTTGAGCTTGCATTCATTTAGGCTCGTGTCCAGTAATCCTATGCGCTTTTCTAACTATTTACTTTATTCTTTTCGTTCTGTTTTTTTGTGAACCTTTAACAACTTTAATAAAAAACTGCATTTTTTCAGTGACTTTTCGCATTTTCAGTGTATTTTATATTGATTATAAAATGGTTTACTTTCAACTTTATTTATTTTCGATATCATGTAACTTATGTACTGAATAATGATCTACAAATAAAAGGAATTTTCAACTTATGTTTTCCACCAGGAGCATAGAATTGGAATGTTTGAGCGTTGATGGTCTAGCAAGTTTTTATGTCTTTAAAGAGCATCGAGCTTTGTTATTTTTTCCTTGCGTAGTTTATGGTTTGATTTTTTATGGCTATATGAACGAAAATTTGCTTTATGACTGATTGGCAATTTTTAAACTAATCTAACGATAATATATCAATATTTTTATGACAGGTTATTTTAAGACTCAGTTGTGTTCTGTTTCAGCAGTAAGTCGTGAGTAGTTTGAATTGATTACATTTTGGCGACTACTATTGTTTAACTGTACTTTACTTTTTTTTTGATTTGAAAGTACATGGATATGGTATACAGGTATCGGTAATAATTTCTATAGAACTAATTGGTCTTGGTTTTATAAATTTATACTTTTTGAGCAGCTGTGCAGATAAAATTGTAACCATAGTTTATTGTGCAAAAAGATCTGTTTGTGCAACTTCTAGCTGTTGTAAGAACGAAGTTTAAGTTGATTGTAACAAAGAGAATGGAAATTAGTTTATTCACTGTTTGGTGTTGAAGGTTATGTTTAACGCTTTTTGAAATGTTGTTGTGCGTGTTCTGTCTAATTCAGTGAGCGGAATTTTTTCATAACTGTTTTTGCGTTAGCCAAGTTGCTACCAGAAGTGCTGTCACTACTATTTTTTCTCGTTGCATTACTCTAAGTCGCTGCTAAATTAAAAAGTACTTTTACTATTGATTAGAGTTAATCAACGAAGGGGACAATAAGTCTGATCAAAAATAGATTTGTGTATTAACAGCTGATTGCTCTTGAAGCTGTTTATTTACTGATCTTTGTAAAGCTGCAGGTTAATAAAGGTGGCTTTGAACAGTACTTACATGAACAGCACACTGACAGCGGCTTTTGCTGGTGTTTCCCATTTCTTCTGATTTGGTTTGTTATTCTTTGAAATTCTTATTAGCTGTCATTGTTTGCTTTCATCACTTCATCTCTGCGTTTCGCACTTGCGGCAAACATTTGCCCTTAAACGTCTTTTGAAAAAGCAACGGCTAGAAAGGCACTGATCAGCATTGAGGATGAAATCTTGCGGTCGATGATTGCCTCCTTTGAGTTGTACTTGTTCTGTCCATTTTTAGCAATAAACTACATTAGTTTTATTTTCTTTTATTTTTCAGAAGTATGTAGAAGATTACAGATTTTTTTCCACAAGTTCTGCTTGCGCAGAAAAACATCTGTGTTATTTTAATATCGGAGATATTGACCGAACCTTTATTCATTATGTGGCTTCAGCAGTACTCCCATATTTTCATGCGAGCTGCTGAGTATACCGCTGTGTTCATCATCACGCCAATGAGATGCTTTTTACTTTGTATTTATAAAAATTTTAATCTACCTGATTTAAAAAAAAAAAAAACGTTTTTATAACGTAATATATAAACGCTTGTTTTTGGATTTTAAAACCAACCTAGTGTTATTAGGTGAATTGTATGTCGTCAAAGGTTAGCAGTTTAATATAACTTGCACTAAAAATTTGTTGTTCGTTTTACATGTAAAAAAATTCTGCTCTCAATAAATAGTCTGTATTTTGTTTGTAAACAGTAATTTCTACAAAAAATGAGTATTTATTTTTTTTAATGTGCCGTTTTCAGTTGTAAATCTTGAATATTTTTTGGTTTTTTCTACGAACAGTTCTTACACTTTCACTCATATTTAGTAGTTTAAAAGCCAACTATTTCTTTTATATTTACTCTATAGTGTCAACATATACCTGCAGGCGACAAATCAATGAACATCCAGAAACTATTTCGATGTTTAAACAGTTTTAAATTGTTATGCTGAAAATTTTTTGTGTGAAATTGTCGTTTGCTGATTCAGGGATTGCTGAACGCTTAACCAGCATTATTATTCAGTTTTGCTTACACATGCTGTATTTTGATCTGAAGTAAACGGATATTATAAATATCAGTTATGATAAAGCTGGCCGTAGGAGTAGCCTTATTTTTTTCTGCAGCCGTTCCTTTCTTCTATAAAGGTAATAAGTTATTATTGGATATTTGCCTGAAAAATGTTTTATTTTTTTGTGCAAGACGTTTGAATTTTGAATGAAAAGAACGACATAGATTTCTTCAGATTATAGTTGAGTTTTTAAATCATATATCAGCTGGAAGTATAATTGACAGAGGACGCTTGGACGACTGACTGATAAAACAAGATTTTTTGAGATGGGGTAACAACAACTGTCACTGTTGATTTTTTAATGGCTGGTAGTATTTGCAGGTTTTTTGGTGTTTTAACTTTCTACATTTCAAAACTGCCTAGAAGATTTTAGTTTAGCTATAAACTTGACTTTTTTTTTGTGTGTGCGGTATATGGTGCATATTATTATGGTTTCTGCTTAGTGTGACAGAGTCAAGTGGATTCTGTGTGACAGAAACTGTGGCTTAAAAGGACCTGAGTGGAAAAGATATTTGATAATAAAAGAGTTTTGTTTATTAGGAAGTGCTGTTGTTTAAAATTGGTTAAAGAAAGATTAATGCTAAGACTAAATATAAAATAAAGATATGATCGGATATAATTAGTAGCTTTCAAAAAGTTGACTGGAAAAACTATTGAAAAGTTATGCTTCAGAAGATACCAGTACTTTCTGATCGATTCTACCAAAAATTTAAAGCTGGATTTCTATAATGCTTTCAGAGGGTTTTTTACTCACAATTTACAAACAAGGATTGTTTTAGACAAGGGGTATGACAAAAACTACTGCTTTACTTTTTTTATTTGATAAATTTCGGTTTTTTTTGCAGTTGATGGACGGTGTGCTTGTATCAACTCCATATTTTATCTACTCCGGGAAAGCGACTACCGTTTGCTGACATCTCCTGACTACCCACGGTCTAATTTTTTCAACGATTTTTCTTAGATATCAGTAGGGTACTGGTTCGAACTAAAATTGCAATATGGCAGAAATTATTTTGTTTTTAAAAGCATTATGAATTGATTTGCTTAATACATTTTTTTCACCTAATTACTATTTTGCTGCTAATCATTAAGAAGATGTTCGCAGATGTAACACTTTGTTTGCATTCTCAACTTTGAATAGCTCAATGGTATCCACAATAAAGGGGACTCTGTGAACTGAACTAGTTAACTCCTGTGTCGTTAAGTAACCAACGATAAATCTCTCAGACCGTACTGCCCGAACTTGGATTGTTCATGGAGGCTTATTGCACCCGACAACAAAACTAAAATTCGGTTCTACTCCGACAATTTTGATCTAAGGCCGGATAAGGACTTTGTCAATTTTTTCAATATGGACAGAACGCAGCTTAGCGAAATGACCGCTAACGCTACATACAGGTGAGTTTTACTTTGTCTCTGAAGTCCCTTTTGTAGTTAATAAACAAAAAAAAGCTTTTTTATGACAAAACCTGAATTAAAAGTTCAAGATTTATTTTATATTATTAATGTGCCAATATGTTTAGCAGTTAAAAACAAAATTTTTTTTAGAAGCAATTTAATTGGCTCTGTGAAGGAATTTTTTATTTTGAGTGTTCCACAAAAATGGAAGAACTTTGAGTTTTATTTGGTGATGTTATACAAGATAAAAGCATGAGTTCATCAGCGTTCAATAATTTTTCTTTAAGGATCAAGCAGGGCTGTCTTTTTTCACGACCAAATAAAATTTTTAGTTGTACCGGCGAGGGCGTGTGCGAATTCATCAGTGCCGGACAGTACCTTACAATAAGATTTCAAAGCGGAAAGGGTGAACCGGAGAGATATGGTTTTCTTGGCCGCGTTACACCGTATAGCGAACCGAAACGTAAACATTTCAGTGTTATATTGTGAGAGGTGTTTTCATTTGAAGTCATACTGAACCACTGTTTATAACTTGAAATAGAATGGGGTTCTGATTTTTTAAGGCTCAGTGAAGAGTGTGATAAACTTTGTATCTGGGGCTGTGATTGCGTTAATACTGTCGTTAATTTCGATCGGCTTGTATTGTTATTGCTCCGATACAGGCAACCGGCTTCGAGAAGAAGAAAAAAGCGAGGAAAAAGAAGAAACCAAAAAAGAGTTAATTAAATGAAAGCCTGCGCAATATTAGGTTTCTCTAAAATGTTTTTTATTTTGAGACTTAATTATCTTCCACTTGTGTGGCTGTGTCAATAAAAATCTGTTGAATACAACGATTAGAAGTGACATCTTCTAGGATAGTCTCTCAATTCTGAAAGTCTACAAAAAACTGGCTTTTTAAGGTTGCAAATAAACACCTTTTTTTAAAAAAAAAAATTTGTTTGTTATAATATTCGTTTTTCGAAGTAGAAAAGTAGGAGTTAAGACTTAAGTACAGCAAGTTGTTACAAGAAATTAGTTAACCAGTGGAATTATTGTTTATAGGTACGTCATGTGGTTAGCTGTTACTGTACAGGTGTTTTAGAACTGTTATTAATAAGAAGCTTTATAACATGATTTTAATCAAGATTATGCCTTTGTTGTTCTAAGAACTTCTATAGATTTTTGTAAAAATTTTGTTTTTTTGTTTATTAAGTTATGCTCAGTTATGTGCTCATTATTTATTGTTTGCAAACACTTTTATATTTAAAAGTTGTCCTCGTACAATATGAAGAGTAAAAAATAAGAGAAAGTACCTGAGAACGATATCTTATCTATTACTTTTTTTGGCTTTTTTTATCCACTCTTCAAGAATCTTATGTAATCAATATAATTTGATGGTTTATTACATCTGTTATGTATACATCGGATTTTTTTAAAAACTTATTTTCTAAAATACTTTTGCCAATATAAAATAATTTTCAAATACTGATGATTATTATAATTAAGGTTTACAATTCACCTTTTTTGGACACTGAAATGCAGTGATGTAAAGTAAAACGATTAACTTCAGGATTTTTAAAGTTTTGAATATAATATGCTTATCGCCTTATATTTAATAAATCTATGGTATTAATGAAACATTTGATTCGCAGCTTCACTCATATGGTTCTTTGAGAACCTCGACAATCCATAGGCCATCTAAAACATGAGAGTGATTCAAAATAATTGATGGGGTGACTAAGTACTGATTAGTCGTAGAGGAAGACGGCAGCGTTATGAGACTAACGTATTAGAAAGATATTTGAAACCACGGATACAGTTTTTTTTAGCACACAGCGAGTTTTTTATAATCATTTTGAGCTTTAACATTTTAAAAAAGTAATAGAAAGTAAAATTAGTAAATTTGTCGCTTGAAGTAACAGCTGGTAGCAACAAATTGGGGCTTTCGAAATTATCTGTAAAACCGTTCTTGATTACCTTTGTTTTACCTAATTTAGCTTCTGCAAGTTCAATTACAGTACTAAAGCGAACAAGATCAAAGTTGAAAGTTTTCTTTTACATCTTACAAATTACATATTTTTATATTCCTAAGGTTTGACAAGAAATGTATATATATACATGCAAATTCTTTCAAATTTCTGTCACTTTTCTGCATCACTCCTCTTCTCCTTTTCTGCCTCTTCCTACCATCAAGGTTTGTTTCAGCTAATATTGCACTTCACTAAGAATGCTTTTATTTGTTTAGTTGTAGCATCACACGCTGCAGTCAAGCTCAAAGAATGTTCGATAAAAGCTAAGAAATATAACTGAGACTAAACAGTCTCTTTCTCCAATTTATTATCTAGCTTTAAAATGCTCTATTCCTGCTAGGTCTTAAAGCTTCTGCCTCTATTTGTTGTTCAATAAAACTTTGAATTAAAAATGTTTTCTTAAGTTTTTTGTTAGCGGTAATACTTAAACGACTTGTACTGTGTGACAGTTTTATTCATGAAAACTAAATCTGAAATTGAAATTGCTGCAAAAGCTGTTGCCTTTAGCAATGTGCTGAAGACTATACTGCAATTTCACAACGTACTCAGCAGTCAGAAGAAAAAACTCTGTAATCGTCTCTAAATTATTCTGCTTCTAACCGTAGAAAAGAAAACTTTTTGAGTACAGGAATTGAAATGAAGAGGAATGAAAAGGAGGATTTATAACTTTTTTTTTGAGGTTTTTTTTGTAATTGCAGAGTAAGTTCTGAAGCTGTAGTACAAACTTCAGCGTTTCGCTAAAGTCAACATTCTCTGAAGTCAACAATTTTAATTTTAGGCTCTATTTTTTATGAATAGAACTGTACACAGTACAAATCATTTAATTATTACCACTAGTAAAAAAAACTGAGGAAAGACTTTCTGTCGCAAATTTTGTTGAGCAACGAGTAGAGACGAAAGCTCTAAGACCTAGCAAGAATAGAGCATTGGGGAACTTGCTGGTAAACTATAAGACGAGACTGTTCAGTCGTGGTTATATTTTTTAATTTTAATTGATTATTTTACGTCGTTGTTTTTTTTATTTTTTTGAAAATTCTAACTGTGATTTGTTCTAATGTTTTTAAAATATTTTTTTTAAGAGATGATAAATAAGGTACAGGTTTTAAAAAGTAACTTTTGAGGTCAAAGAACCGGCTTTTGGTCTTGAGCACTTTCTCAGGTTTTAAATTCAGCGTCTAGAAGGGTGGTTATACCTATTTTTTATACAATTCTCTTACGCGTTGATTATAGTGTGCACTACTTCATTCCGTTGTTCTGTTAAATACAAAGCTAAATAAACCTTAATCAACCTTCTATGGCATCTTAATTCACTTTTAGTAAAGTGAAAGCTATTAATTCTTTCTATTTACGAGAGTAAGTCAGCGATACTTATGGTGTGAAATTTATCTAAACGCGCTACATCACATGTTTAATTCACTGACTAATAGATCAGAACCAAATTCTTAAAAATCAAGTGTTTTCCACCGACAGAATTTTGCTTATACATCTTTACATACAAAACCGGAATGTTGATTGTAATTAAGTTTTACTGATGCAGGCAGAATTTTTTGAACTACAGAATTTTTTATGAATCTTTGGTTGTGTAATGTACACTACCTTATTTTTTCTTAACGGTTTGTAAAACGCCGCTCGCATTTGTATGCTGGCCGGTTGAAACAAGCTTGAATAAATTCGACAAGATCAGAGCAAATTTCTAATCCTGTCATTTATCAATGAGCTTCCACAATAAATCAATAAGAACTTTAAAGATTATTTTGTACAACTATGAAAAAGCATTTCTTATAGCTGCAGCTGCTTGGTTGTAGAGATGAAAATTTCTTAGCAAAAGAACACACGATGACATCTAATGTGCTATCGTTGTTGTTTGCTATTGGAAGGTTAAGCGTTTACTAAAGCTCCTTTCTGAATGAATTAGGTAATACAGAAAGAGGTGAATTCAGTTTCACTTAATTATTTCAATGTTAAATATGTATAGGTAAGAGAAGATATCTTAGTGAAAAATTTAGCACTCTGTCTTCACTAGCGCCTTTAAACTATTGCAAAATTTTAAATCTAGACTAAATAACTTAGTTGACAAGCATCACTCAGTAAAGATTATTGGATATTAACGATTACATAAGTAAGGGGTTGAGCGCTATGTTTTTGCTAAATTATAAACAAAATAATCAATTTCATTTATTCACTTATCTGTTTAACTGTTGTACAAATTCGAAGTAGTGTTTGAAGTCTATGGAAAAAAATTTTTTTTTGTTGTTTGAAGCAGGTTTTTAATAATAATAAATTGAGATGCTTGAAAGAGAAAGACCTTCAAAAAACAGTTATTAGCAGCTCTATAAAATTTTTATAATTTAGACACATTTGAAAAATTATTATACTGCTTTTAATTTTTTTTTATTTTTTCAAAAGCAGTGTAGACTACATCGTTTCTCTTTTTCAGTGCTTTTCCTCCCAAACTCTTCGACCCGCTAGTATGCCAGAAGTTCAATGAGTACTAAAGAGTAAGCTCTTTTTGCCTACAAATTTTTTTAGGAACGTGCAGCTCAAAAAAAATATACTGTTTCTTTCAAGGAAGGAATGACGTATTATGCAACAGTGATACAACTGCATTGTTTGAATAATGTCGTTGATTAGTGACCATCGACTTTTCTTTTTGATATCGTCGAATATTTTGAGTTTTCTAAATTTAGTGATTTCCTTTTAGATTTGAGGCGGAGTTTGACTTTTACTTTTTTTTTTCTGTTATTGGAAATGACCTAGAATGAGAGACTTTTGTCAGAGAAGTTACCACAAGGCAACTAATTACCAAACTCAAAAGATAAAATTTGATAAACAAAACCGAATATCTTTAGCTAGATAATGTAATACAAAGCGCAATACCTTGGCCTAAAACATTACTCAGTTGATAATAAATGTTTTAAGGACGTTAAACAGAAAGAAAATTAAAAGTGGCTACTAGAAGTGATTCGTACTCGTATTGTTCGCAAAGTTTTAATGTAATTTCATTCACCTAATTTTCAAGCGTTCTCGTCTCCAGCTTTAAATGTTGTTCTGTAAACCAAGCACGTGGAGTAAAAGGGCTATAGAAACCTAAAGTTAAAAGTCAAATATATAGTTATGTTACTGAACCAGGCAAGAATTAAAACTAAGGAAAAATGATGCATTTAACTTAAAAGGCATTGTCGAGAAACTCGAATAGACTGAACTTCTAGCTCAAGTACTGCAAATTACTTCATCACTCCACTTCATTAATTTTCTAATCCAATAAATTGTTTCTTTGAAGAAAAAATAACAAATTCTTATAAATCGGAGGAGATTCATAATGAGTAAAAAATGAACTTTTTAAATACAGAACATACTACGTTTCAACATATTACAACAGAAATTTTGACTCATTATTGACGTCACTTGTAATGCTATGTTAAAAGTGTTCTTTGCTTATGAAGAACCAAAACCCCGCAATAACAACTGTTCTCTAGTTTATTAAAGCATTCAGAGCAATCGACTCCAAGCAATCAAATAAGCTTGCAAAAAAACAAAAAATTATAGTTTTTTAATTCGAATCCCATCACAGGTATATTTTATAAATTCTAAAGCGTCAAAAATATACAGTTGCTAAATCTTTATCACAGAAGCCGCGCCTATGGCTATTTTTATAAATTAATTTCAACCTTTTAAGCCAAAATAACATCCCTTAATCGCCTAAAATCTCATATGAACGGCG